GAACATCCTCTGGTTGACAATCACAGCTGAACTCAGCTTTGCAGTCATCCCAGCTCAGTAACCAGACACGTGAGTAAAGAAGTGTGCAGAGGTTTCCAGCTCCCAACTGGGGCAGAGACAAGCCATTCCTACTCTGCCATGATCAAGTTCCTGACCCACAGAAGCTTGGAGTATAATAAAATAATTTTTGTTTTATGCCACTAAGTTTGTGTGTTTTTTCTAATGAGGCAATACACCACAGTCCCTTATGAGGCATGTCACAAGAAATGTATTACCAAGAGTAACCCACTGAAATTTCTAAGTGGTTGAGTTTTGTTTACATTATAGGGGTTTCAGAATCATTCCCATAACTCTATAACTCTCAGACCTTTGCATTCTCATGTTTTCTCAATTAGGAGATAAAGACAGGAATACAGCCATGCACTAGAAATTACATATAATCCCACAGCCACTCCACTGCATTATATGGTTTGTAAGTGGCAGAACCCCAGTTTGGATGGGGGCAGCAAGGTGTCCAACCCAGGGCATAAATTTATTTCCCCTTCCTCAACACCTGCTTCCCCAGACTCCCTTGCAGTTTGGAATGGTCATGGGACTAAAGGGCTCCTCTTTTTTTTTAAATCCTCGCCCGAGATTATTTTTTCTATTGATTTTTTTTCTTTTTTTTTTTTTTTTTTTTTTTTTTTTTTAGAGAGAGTGGAAGGGAGGGAAGAAGGGAGGAGAGAGAAAGAGAGAGAGGGAGGAACATTGACATGAGAGAAACACAATGTTTGGTTGCCTCCCCCACACGCCCTGACCAGGGCCGGGGATCAAACCTGCAATCCAGGTAAACACTCTTGACCTGGAATCGAACCTGTGACCCACGGGCCAACACTCTAACCACTGAGAAAACAGCCAGGACAAAGGCTTCTTAAATTAGTTACTTTATATAATGAATTTAAAACAATTTTTGATACATGTGTTTATTACTGTTACTCTTATTATTTTAGAATTTTTTCTTTCTTGACACAAAAAAGAACTTCCATTTGTTCCCTTCCTTCCTACTTAGTTCATTGGTATGAGGATGTAAGACCTGGATCTCATTGCACCAAACCCCAACCCCCCCTAACTCCAGAATTCTTATTCAGTAAGAAAACCAAATGTCTTTAGTCGTGTACTTGAGTTTTCTGTTTGCAGCCAAGTGAATCCTCACAAATCCATCTCTGCATGGCCAGCACAGACCCCAGAGAAGGTGGTCAATTAATATTTGATAATAAAAAGTTGAATCCTGTAGGACATGTCTGAGTTCAGGCATATGGCCCTCTTCAGTATGAATGCTGTAATAAAAATAAGGCTACAAATCCACTTGGAGAAGCAAAGGCCTAAAAAGAAATTCTGAACTGGATATATTTAGGTTTTACCTGCTCAGCATCCATTTCTCCTGCTAAAGCTCACTTTCCCAATCCTTCATTTGCTTGGACACAAGACTCAGGTTTGCTCAATCAGATTACCCCATCTACAGATCACAGTGACAAGCCTTCTCTGATCTTCCCTAATGAAGGCCTTTGTATAAGCTGTTTCCTCTGCTTGAAATAGGCACTACTATTCTCCCGCCAACACCATGTCTTTACCTGGCTAATATCCACTCATCCCTATGTCTGTTAATATCACTTCCTCTTCCAAATACCCTTCGGAATGGTCCACTGGGATTTATATTACTTTTATAGGCCCAAACGCTTTCCCATCTGGTAAGAACTTGGGATCGACCATATGAAGTTGCCAAGATTCTGCCATTTCTGACCTACAAAACTGGCAATTTCATATGATTCAACCTAAAAAGCAATTTCTTTAGCTACTCCCCTCTCCCAGACCACCCAACCTGGACACCTGAATACTGAGGACTAAACCAACCCCTACCTAGCCAATCAAAGCATTCCATTCCCTTGGATGCCACAACCAGTGCAAGATTGGCATGTGACCCCAATCAGTCCAATCTGAGCCCTTCCCTGGGATGTTGTTGTTTCACTTATACTGGAGATTTTGCCATTTTCCCACTGGGCTATGGTACTGGAAGGATTGGGTTTGTGTCTGCAAATAAATGGCCGCTTTCCCAGCACATGCAGTTGAAAGGAATGAATATGAGCTGAGACAAACAGAGAAATGAGTAGGAAAGTGTCTTGATGGAGTTGAGTCTGGGGTCCAGTCCCTAAAGCCAAGTTCCTTGTGGGTCTACCCTATATTGTTTCCTTCCCAGTTATATGAGCCAATAAACTCTGCTTTTTAGGTCTATTCTGTTAAGCTATGTTCCTGAGACTTGCTACCAAAAGACTTTGATTAATATATGTCCCTGGCCTGCAGGTGGGGTAAGGCAGCTCCTCTGGGCTCCCACAGTTTCCTTTTCTTCTCCCATCACAGTCCTATTGTCATCTGTCTGGCCAGGAGGGCAGGTATTATATCGATCTTGGTCACTGCTGGGTCTACAGTGCCCAGCACAGGGCCAGGCACAGAGCAGATGTTCATACACTCCCCTTGGAAAATCCAATGCCCTCTCTCATTGCTGTACCTGTTCCTTGGTTTTAAAGCTCTCAATTTTGAAGAGCATATCATTGGCATTAATTCTCTATTAAACAAAGGGCTTAGGGTTACAGGAGAAAGAAGGCGGTGGGTGTCCTCCAAAGGGCTAAACCAGGGACCATGTGGACCCCAAATATGTTGATGGATGGATGCCATGTTCTGAGATGATAGTTTCTGATTTTGTTTTGAAGGCAGGCACACCCCACAGCTGGGGTCAGAAATCAGACCATATACCACCCCTGCTCAGAACCTTTTTTTGGCTTCCCACAGCTCTGAGAATAAAATCTTGACTCTTGACCACAGACCACAAGCTTCTGCAGAATCTGCTCCCTGCTTGCCTCTCCCACCTGCTCTCCTCCCACTCCAGTCCAGGCACAATGCCTCCAACACACCAAGCACAATCCTTTCTCAGGGCCTTTGCACATGCTATTTCCATTGCCAGGAATGCTCTTCCCACAATGGATCTCTTCAGAATGGATTTCTTCAGCTCTAATATCACCTTTCTTGATACTCCCCCGCCATCTAAAGTACACCTCCCAGTCATTCTCTGTCCCAACACCCTGTTTTCATTCATTTCAAGACATTTATTTACCACCAGACACGCATTACATATTTACTTGCTTGTTTACTGCCTCCCCCCAAGGGACAGGGGTTTCTTTATTTTATATATATAGTGTTTTTATTGATTTCAGGGAGAGGGAGAGAGGGATAGAACATCAATGAGTGAGAACCATTGATCAGTTACCCCCTGCATGCCCCCTACTGGAGATCGAGCTCACAACCCGGGCATGTGCCCCAACCAGGAATTGAACCTTAACCTCCTGGTTCCTAGGTCGACACTCAACCACTGAGCCACACTGACTAGACCACAGGGGTTTCTTATTTTGTCTATTTTGTTCACTGCTGTATCTCCTGCGCAGAGCCACGTACATAGTACATGCTCAATAAAGTTTTATCGGGTGACTCAGACAATATAGTCAGATGATTAGGTGTGCAGGATTTGAAGGCAGTAAACTTTCTAATCACAACTCTGCTGTTTACTGGCTGTATGATCTTGGGCAAGCTCCTTAACCTCTAAACTCTTTCTTCTTCTAGAAACATAGATGCACACACTACACATCAGCTGCAGAGTATAAATGTGATCATGCTTACTATGAACGTAACTTCCTTTTGTGAGTGTTATGTGCCTGATGCTGGGTTGCATGCTCTTCTTTCAATCTTTATTGAGAGGACCCACATATTACAGATGTCCTTTCCCTTCCCCCCCCCCACCTTGCCCATGCACCAGGGAGGGTTTGTGAGCACAGTGCCTAGTATGTGGGAAGCCCTCAGTACCCAGGAGTCATGATGACCAAGATAGATAAGTGTGGCTGGGTCACTGGGTGAGGGAGCCTCCTGGCCTGTGATTCTCTGGCGCCTTTGTCCTTGATGCCTCCCACCCTGCCTGCCCAGATCTTCCCCCTTCCTCCTGCTGTTTCTATTTCTGTCTTTCTCTCCTCCTCCCCAGGCCTCAGGGGGCCCCTGGCTAGCATGAAGTCTCTTCCTTCTCCAGGATCAGGAAGTATTCACTGCAGCGCCCCCCAAGATTGGGGTAGCCCCCAACCAACTTTCCTTCCCCAGCCACAATCCTCAGCCTTAACTGAAACTCCCCTCCCCATACCATCTTCTGTGCTCCAAGCAGACCCCTTCTCCACTTCCAATCCCTCATATTCCAGGCAGTAACCAATGAGCTCTTTCCCTCCTTCCTCCCTCACCAGGCTGGCTCGGTATACCTGTGCTCAGCTAAGGTCATTGGGGTCAGTCCCCAGCCTCTAGATGCAACATGGTGTAGTGGTAAGGAACAGATAAGACACTGAGATCAAACTGCCAGTTCCATTATTTTCTCACTGGGGATCTTTGGGCAAGTGACTTCAATTCTCCCTGGTTCAGATTCCTGTCTATAAAATGGAACCAAAGATACCTACCTTGGACAGTTGCCCAACCTCAGAAAGAGGAGCTGTGCTTAGCACAATGCCTGTGTGTGGAATGAGCATTCACTAACTGCTCAGCAGAATTCTGTGGTTAAGAGGACAGATTCAGAAGTCAGGCTGCCTGCCTTTTCAAATCCCAATTTTGCCACCTTCTGGTTATGTGATTTTGAGATGTTTCTGGGCATCAATTTCCTCATCTGCAAAATGGGATACCTGTAATATGTTCTAGGGTTGTTGTGAGGATTAAATTACTTAAGTGCTTGGCACACAGTAAGCACTCACTAAATGTTAGCTATTATCATTTTATTATTATTTCCCACCTTTAAATCTCTCAGAGGATAGGAAATTGTCTGCAAGTCTCCCTGGTCCCAGTTAGCCATCTTTCCTTCAGTCTCACTTAACCCTTATACTGTAATCTAGGACACACACACACACACACACACACACACACACACGACACAGGGGCACACACAGAGGTCAGTAGAGCGCCCTCGGACACAGAAAAAAGTTTAATTCTGCTGCGGCGGGGGTCCTGGCTCCGGTGGGGAGGAGGACTTTGTTTTGGACTTTATTCATGTGGGGATTTACTTGAGGAAAGAGGAAGGAATAGGGAGAGTCTGGTCCTTCCAGTGGGACCTGCCCCGGAGAATGTGTAGTGGGGGGAGGTAATCCCGGAGAGACAAAGAGACTGGACAAAACATGGGAGGGCAGGAGAAGAGACGACGGGACAGAGAAAAAAGAGACAAATAGAAAAGGGCAGAGACATAAGACAGAGAAGACAGAGAGCAGGATAGACACAAAAGAGGGGGACAGAGAAAAGGGGACCCCAAGCCAGACCCTACGGGATCAGAGAGGTGAATGGGCTCGGGGTGGGGCTTTGGAGGCCGCCGCGGGACAGAATAGGATCTAGTCCAGCCAGATACAAGAAATGGGCCCCTCGTCCCTGCCCCTGGTCCCGGGCAGGGGGAGGGGGCTCGTGTCTCAGTGCTGCAGTGTGGGGGGGCCCTGCCCCTTCCCCCCGCTTCGCTGTGTAAGGCACCAGCTCCCAGCGAAGTCCGCGAGCGCGCTGGGGGAAGGGACAAAGAGGGGGGCGAGGAGTTCTCACGGGAGGAGCCCAGCAGCCCGCTCCCCATCTCCCCAGGACACGGTGCATAGCCTCGAGCCTTAGCCGCAGGCCGCAGCGCCCCCTCGGGGAGAAGGGCCCACCTCCCCTCCAGTCAGAGGTCTTGGCGCTGTGCTTTTTCCCTCCAGTCCTGCCCCAGGGTCCGGGCAGCTCGGAGTGGGTCCTGTCCGTGGCACCAGGAGTCCCGGCGCCCGCCGCAGCCGCTCACACGGTACTCTCCAGCATCCACTCGGTGCTGGTGAAGGCCAGGCGCGCCCGGACGGAGCCCAGCCCCAGCTCTCCGTCCTCCCCGGCCACGCCCCCTCCAGCCACGTCCAGGTGCGGGGTGGACCGGTGGCGCTTTGTCCGCCGGGCGCGGCGCGGGTAACTGTGGCTCTGGAAGAGCACCCCATAGTCCCCGTCAAACGAGTAACGCTGCTGTGGCCGAGGCCGTGCGGGTGCCCCCCCAGGAACCAGAGCTAGAGTGGAGGGCGCTGAAGCTGGCGGCCTCAAGGCCCCAGAACGGCTCCTCCGAGGACCCACAGCGGCTCGAGACTCCTCCCCAGAGGCTTCCTCGGATGGCAGGAGACACAGCGAGGTGGCCGAGCCACCCAGGGAGCGTCCAAAGACTGCCTCTGGGTCTGCGGAAGCTGCCGTCTCTACCACCGTGGTCTTTGCTTCCACCGCCAGGGCTGCCGGGGACGCCTCCTCGCGCAATGCCACGTAGCATTCTTGCGCTGGCGGTGGGGCCTGCGGCGCGCCTGCACCGTTGGTTTGCGAGCACACGTGGCTGACCCGCGGGGGTGACCTAGAGGCGCCCTTGACACGACGGCCATCTCCGTCGCCATAGACCTTGTAGCGGATCATGAGCAGAACGATGAAGACGAGGACCGAGGCAACGATGACGCCCCCGATGGCAATGATCATGGTGCCGCCCAAGAAGTGGGCCCTCAGCGGGCGGCAGGGCGCCGGATCCCCAGCCGTGGTAAACTGCACGCAGCCCACCACTCGCGTGGCTGGCAGCGCTGTGGCACCATCGTCGTAGACCGCCAGCACGCACAGATCATAGGCGCGGCCCGCCGCCAGATCATTCACCAGGAAGGTCTGGCTGGTGGAGGGGATCATCCTGTGGGAAGGGGCAGGATCAGCGCGGAGTTAGCTCTACTCTGAACCAAGCCATTTCACTTGTATGTCCCACCCATGGTGACCAGTGGGAACCAAACCGTGCGTTCCTACCAGTATCTCACCCTTTACCAGGACAACAGCAGCCATTCAAGCAACAAATTTCTAACTTCTCAGGATCCCTGCTACAGGCCACGCCTTTCATCTGCATGCCCTGCCCTCAGACCAACCCCGTCTGTCTTATTGCCTAGTTAGAACACTATCTGTCAATCATATTCCCTCATCTACATATCTCAGTTCTTGAATGAGAGGCGTGCTATAGCTTTTATGCTCTACCCTAAAGGGAAACGCCCCGTAGCAGTGTCTCACCATATTAGGGTAGCAACAACTGCCATTCAAGGTCTCTTATGTACATATTTTCATCCTTTGAGGGGCCCCATTACTACAAGCCCCACCCCCTACCAGCATGCACCACCCTCACAAGTGGTCAACTCACACCCCCTGTCTTTATGACTTCAGAAAGGAAGGGAGAGAGGAGGAGGGGCGGGAGAGAAAGAAAAGCATTGATTTTTGTTGTTTCACTTATTTCTGAATTCCTTGCTTGATTATTGTATGTGCCCTGACTGGGGATTGAACCTGCAACCTTGACTATCCAACCAACTGAGCCTCTAGTTCTTCTTAAAATATATATATATATATATGATTTCAGAGAGGGAGAGAGAGATAGAAACATCAATGATGAGAGAAAATCTTTGATTGACTACCTCCTGCATATCCCCCACTGGGGATCAAGCCTGCAACCTGGGCATGTGCCCTTGACCAGAATCAAACCTGGAACCTTTCAGTCTGCAGGCCAACACTCTATCCTCTGAGCCAAACCAGCCAGGGCCCTCTAGCTCCTCTTATATCCCTGCCCTTTCAGGGAAATCATGTGTGTACAGGCCACGCCCTTTATCTGCATGTCCCATCTTTGGGCAAATTCATCTCCTAGCTGCATATATCTTCTGAGACAATTTCCAAGCCCCTCGACTACATATTCCTGCACCACACCCCACAACAGCCACTGGGGATGATTCTCCTACTGTGCCTAGGGCCGTGTCCACTCTTTGCATGTCCTGAAACCTCTCTGTGTGCGCCCTACCCTATACTGCCACAAGTCACCAACTCACACCCCAGATAAGTAATTGGGTCAAATGTAGCCAAGCAAACATGCCCCCTTCTTGCTCTAGGCCCCTGCCTTCAACCGAGAAGCAGTGCAGAGTAGTGGTTAAACTGACAATTCTGGGAGCCAGACTGCCTGGGTTTGAGTCTCTCTTCTGCCACTTGCTAGCTGTGATCTTATACAAGTTTCTTTCTTTCTTTTTTTTTTTTTAAATCCTCACCCGAGGATATTTTTCCCATTGATTTTTAGAGAGTTAGAAGAGAGAGGGAAAGAGAGAGAAACATCGATGTGAGAGAAACACATAGATTGGTTGCCTCCTGCTCGCGCCCTGACCAGGGCTGGGGCCCAAGTGGAGCCTGCAACTGAGGTATGTGCCCTTGACTGGAATTGAACCCGGGACCCTTCGGTCCACAGGCTGATGCTCTATCCACTGAGCCAAACTGGCTAGGGCCTTACAAAAGTTTCTTTCTTTCTTTTTTTATTTCAGAGAGGAAGGGAGAGGGAGAGATAGAAACATCAACGATGAGAGAGAATCATTGGTTGGCTACCTCCTGCACACCCCTTACTGGGGATTGAGCCTGCAACCCAGGCAGGTGCCCTTGACTGGAACTGAACCTGGGACCTTTCAGTCCGCAGGCAAGTGCTCTATCCACTGAGCCAAACCAGCTAGGGCTTCATACAAGTTTCTTAACCACTCTGAGCCTCACTTCTCCCAACTGGGGATATTAAGAATTAGTACATCATAGAGATGATGTGAGTATGAATTAGTTAACATACCCAAAGCCTGGCACTTAATAATTTCATCATTGTTAGCTTCCATTCCACTCTGTGTTGGCCAGTACCCTTCCTGTGGCTCACACCCTACTCCCAGTTGCACCCTCCCTCATCTATAAGACCATTCCCACTAGGCCTTGCTCCTTCTGTTGGGCACACCCTTCCACAGTCGGCCAAGTCCAGCTTTGGCTAACCTGGGACTTCCACATCCACATAGATTCGCATGCTCACCACTCAACCTCACAAGCTCTCCTCTCCTACAAAGGTCTTAGTGGGTCACCAGAGACAAGGACCACATCTTCATCTGCATGGGACCATGAAACAGGAACTCCACCTCCTCTAAGAGGTCATGCCCCCATCTTACCTCTCAGATGCTTCACCTTCCCTCCAGTCTGGCCACCTTCTGGTTCTGAAGCTTACAGCAGTTGTCCCACTTCCTGAAGGTTCCCCACCACCAAAAGCCACCCTCCAACCAAAAGGCTTCAAGTGAGGGCCCTATTCCCTCTAAAAGACCCACCCACTTCTCCAACTCTCCCCTTGCCTGCCATTTCACAGACCACTCCTCCCCCTCCACCTCATACCTCCCAACTTTGAGCCCCAGGCTGTAAGTCTTCCTTTTCTTTCAGTCTCCCCTCTCAGAGAGACTAGGATTCCTCTTGCTCCTTTCCCTAAAAAAAAAACAGTTGCTAGGGGCTCCCCCCTTTTCAAGGACAGAGGCTGGCTCCTTAAGAAAGCTTGAGCCCACATGTCTCTGATAGGCTGAAAGACCCAAGCAAGCAGCAGAGCAGGCTTCTGATTGGATGTTGCCTCCACCCATGGCAGAAGTGAGGAAATTAACCCCTACAGCAACATAGTGCAGGCATCTGCAGTGGGAGAGGGAGGACTGGAACTGTAGCCCTCAGGGGAAGGGAAGAGCCCCCAGATCTGCTGCCTAGCTAGGGACAGAAGGGAATGAACATCTGAATACATGCTGGGTCTGCGGCCTGAAAACCTCCCTGCACCCCACCAAGTAGTGGCCACAGGTTAGAGAGAGAAAGAAAGAGAGAAGTAGAGTCACAAACCAAAAGTTATTTATGGAAATGTATTATCCAGCTCCACTAATCCCTGCTTGGCAAACAGTGGGTACTCAATAAATGTGTGTTCAACATAAAAAGGTTAGGAGTTAGAAGGGTAAGAGCTAGAATCCTGGTTCTGCCGCTTTCTGTGTAACCTTGAGCAAGTGACTTCCCTCCATGGGCCTCAGTTTCCCTATCTATAAAATGGGAAGGGTATCATCACTGCTTCACATCAGAGTTGGAAAGATCAAATGAAGCAGCATCTTTGGTAGTACCTTATAAAGGTTTTTGTTCTGTTCATTTGTTTGCCCTCATGTTTGTAAAACTGGGCCAGTGTCTGATCTATCTCGGTGGCCCCAGGGCCCAGCATGAAATGTGACATGCAATAGGCATCTATTCAGTGTTTGATAACCAGATTCTAAAAGAAAAGAAAATGAGGATGACAGAGAGAAAGTTTTCAAAGGCATTTACTCATTCAGCCAACAATGGGAAAGCACCTACTGTGTACCAAGACTGTGGCCAAGAGAACCCTGGGAAAGGTGAAGATGGAGGCCAAGAGGCAGGCTTTTTGGTGTAGGTCTGAGCACACCAAAAAATGGGGCTCCCAAAAATAGCTTTAAAACCTCTGGCATTACCAAGTGAAGTCAAACACAGGATTAAGCATACAGCAGATGCTCTACAGTGCACATGAAGGAGACAGAGCCAGGAAGGAGAGCCATTCACAAAGCCCACAACCACTTATCAAGTGCCCACTGTGTGCTATGGCTGTGACTCATACTTAAAAAGCTACCAAGATGAAGGACACTGCAAGGCCAAGGCAATAATTCAGCAAATACTAGCTGCCTCCTTCCTCTGGACCATAAGGTCCCTGAGGGTGGGAACTGGTCTTTTGGTCTCCCAGTGTCCCCAGCGCTCTCAGGGCCTAGCACAGAGCAGGGCTTCAATGCCCAACAAGGGCGGGAGGGAGAGAAGAGACAGATAGAGGCAGATGTGAAATTAAGAAAATAAGAGAGATGACGGGAGAAAGTAACTCTTTAATGTCTGTCCATACCAGGGCAACGGCTTCTAACCCAGTGGATAATGAAAATAACTTATATTTATATATTTTGGTTTTCTGTTCTATAATGTCCCCAATGTGTTGATACAGAACCCCTGGCATATAATTTATAAATATAAATGTAACTGTTAAATGTGTGTGTGTATGTATGTGTGTGTGTTTCATGCTCCAAAATGTTTAACTGACAAGGTACATAATCAAACACCTTTGCTGAGCAGGAATATGGACCATAAGCTCCATGGGAGTGGGGATATGCGGGGTACATTCACTGTTATAACTCCAGTGCCCAGCCTGACTCATGTGAATGCTCAACAAAGATTTGCAAAATGCATGAAAAACAGAGACAGTGAGACAGAAAGTGAGACAGAAGAAGACAGAGCAACTATGTATGGCCATCTAGAACTCCAGCTGAGCAAGAAGGCCAAGGAAGTGGACAGAAGGGAGAGGGGACCCTTGAGGTGGGAGGAGGCTCTGGGACTGAAGTACCCACCTGTAGACAAGGGAGTCATCAGCGGAGCTGTTGTACTGGACTTGGTACATGCGGATGCCGGGCACCGGCCTCTGCGCTGGCCAGCGGATGAGCACAGAGTTGGAGGTGAGCTCCGCCGCCACCAGCCGGCGCTCAGCAGCAGATTCATTGGCACCAGGTCGGCTAGGCGTGGCAATGTCAGAGGAGCCAGGCTCAGTGAGAGGCGGCGGGGCAGCCGGCGGGGGCGCCATCAGAGGGAGCGGCACCACGCACACCTCCACGGGTGCCGTGGCTTCTCCAGCGGCATTGGAGGCGATGCAAGTGAAGGTACCACTGTCCCGCAAGGTGGTGATAGTTACATCCAGCGTCCCATCCCCCCGGACCCGGGTCCGGCTAGAGTTCCCCAGCAACCGCCCATCAGGTGCCACCCAATGCACCACCGGTTCAGGATCACCCACAGCACGGCACCGCAGGCTGACTGCCTGGCCCTCCACCACGAGGGCACGGCCCCCCGCCTGCCGTGTGATCAGCGGGGGTTCGCACAGGAACTCCTCCTCAGGGATGGACCAAAAGTAACGGTCAGTGAGGTGCTCAGGGGTGGCACACGTTTCCAAGTCATCCTCCCTGGTCAGCCGCCGCAGCCAGAGCAGCTCGCAGTTGCAATGCAGGGGGTTGCCACCAAAGCTAACCGTGAGTGGCGTGGGCGGCTTGGGCCCCGGGCCTTGGGACCTCAGGAAGAGCCCATCAGGGGGCAGTTTATGGAGGCGGTTGGAGGTCATGTCCAGGCGAACCAGTTTGTGAAGCTGCACGAAGGTACCTTCAGCGATGTGGTCGATGAGATTGTGGTCCAGCGTGAGGGTGTTCAGGTTCACCATCTGGCCTACGGCCTCCCAGGGCAGGGCCTCGAGGTTGTTGTAGGACAGATCCAGGTCCTCCACAGTGGACAAGAAGGCATCGAAGGCCGCCGACTCCACCCGGCGGATCTGGTTGTTGCCAAGGATCAGGTGACGGAGGTTGCCCAAGCCGCGGAGCTGGTCGCCACGCACCTCAGCCAGGCGGTTGCTGTCAAGGTGCAGAGCCCGGAGGGCACGGAGGTCAGCAAAGGCGCCAGCTGCCACTTGGCCGATGGTATTACGGGAGAGGGTGAGGTGCACCAGGCTGGTCATGTTGGCGAAGTCTCGGCGGCGGATGGCCGCAATGAAGTTGTCTGTGAGCCTCAGTTCCACCACACGCCGGTCAATGGCTGGCGGCACAAAGAGCAAGCCAGTCTTGGCGCACAGCATGGTCAGCGTGGGCGCCACATTCTGGCAGATGCAGCGGCCAGGACAGGGCTGGCCACGAGATGCCCCTGCCCAGAGTAGCAGCAGAAAAGACAGGGCTGCAGGTGGTGGCAAGAGCAGCATAGAGGAGAAGGGGCCGGGAGCCATGGTGCAGTGGGAAGTTGGGAGGAGTGAACAATAAGACCTGAAGGAGAAGGAGACACGTTACCCAGGCATAGAGCTTGCTTGCCAGCCTGGCTGCCCTGGGATGTTCTGCTAGGAGTCTGACCCAGATCCTTCCCTTCCTGACAACCAGGTTCTGTAGGACAGTAACAGCACTGATCCTCACTTGGCATGCATTTGTTAATAGATAATATATTAATGCTGCTTGATAAATTACCACTGTCCCACCCCCGAATGCCCTGTCCCCACCTCTGCCCCTCCCCTAGGGGTTCCCAGACCTCTCATAATCTCCTAACCAGAGGGGTGACACCTGCCCTGACTGGGCCTTTTAGCACCCACTGAACATTTTGAAAAATCACTGCTAACTAGGGTTTAAATTCATAGATTTCAAAGCCATATTCCCTGGGTTCAAATTCCAGCTGACACTTACTAGCTGTGTGACCTCGGGCAAGTGTCTGAACCTCTCTGAATTTCGGTTTCTTCATCTGTAAAAAGGAGATAAAAAACAAAACAAAACAAAACAAAAAAACAGGCCTTACCTCTGTGAGGGTTAAATGGATTAATGAGAATGGTGTACTACTTATGAATAATGCCTGGCACATAAAATGTGTTCAATACATGTTAAGTGTTATTATCATCATTGAGTGTCCATTATGTGCCAGGTATAGAAGTATGCACTATTATTAAAAGAAAGTGCTTTGGCCCTAGCCGGTTTAGCTCAGTGGATAGAGCGCCGGCCTGCAGACTGAAGGGTCCCAGGTTCAATTCCGGTCAAGGGCACATGCCCAGGTCAAAGGCTCAATCCCCAGTAGGGGGCATGCAAGAGGCAGCTGATCAATGATTCTCTCTCATCATTGATATTTCTATCTCTCTCTCCCTCTCCCTTTTCTCTGAAATCAATAGTCATATATATATATATATATAAAAGTGCTTTGAAATCAGACAGATTCAGGTTCAAGTCTTGGTTCTACCCACTTGCTAGCTCTGTGACCCCAAACCAATGATTTCCCCTAACTAGGCCATACTTGCCTGTTTTGTAAAATGGGATGATAACTGTACCATCTTCAATGGGTTGTTGCAAGGGTTCAGTAAACTCATTCATGGGGGTCCCTGAGCACAGGCCCGGCACACAGTAAGTATTCATTAAATGTTATGGATAATACCGCCCCCCCCCCCCAACCATCCTTTATCAGAGGTAAAGGGAGTCTGAAGGTGGAAGAGGCTGAGAAAACTACATCAGTCTCCCTGCTCAGCCTTTGGGAAGTCCTTCTCAAACCTTGGTTTCATCCTGGGCTCTTCTGAGCTCCCAAGCAGGGGGCAGACTTCTGTGCTCACATCTGTGGACACATACAAGACCCCATACATGCCTACACAGCCACACAGACATTCACTCACACACTCATGCTATTCCTCTGCTCCAGGCAAAACCTTCCAGCAGGGATTCCCCTGTGGCAGCTGCAGCCCACGACATGTCAGCTCCCATCACAACATGGGGTTGGTGGGGGTGAAGAGGAAAGGATGCAAAGGGGGCATCCCTGAAACTGTTTTCACTCCATCCTGTACCCCAGTCCCTACTGGCCTACCTCCCAGGAATCTGCAGTTTGGGGCTGTGACCTGATGTGGCCCTGATCCTTCAGCCCATGGGGAAAGGGACTATAGAGACTCAGAGAGAGGTGAAGAGACAGTGAGAGACCAGGGGGAGGAAGAGATAGGTTGGGGGGGAGAGAGAGAGAGAGATTTGAAAGAAAGGTGAAGAGACAGGGATTGAGAGACAAAAAAACTGAGTAGAGGAAACAAAAAATAGAGACTAAGACAGAAAGATAGAGAAAGGAAGTGAGAGAGGGAGAGAAAGGAAGAGAGAATCGGATTGTATAGGGAGACAAAGAGTGAGACAGAGACTGAAGGAGACAGTAACTGGGCTAAAGAGAGAAAAAGAGGCCCAGTCAGGGAGTCCCACCATTTCCGAGGCCCCCAACTACCTTGTCTTGCACTCCCTCTGGGACACTGTATTGGACAGAAAACCCTGGCCTGGAAAGTGCAACTCCTGAGTTAGGAGGCCCCGCTCTACACCTGTCTGGCTGTGGGTCTCTAGGGCTCAGAACCCCAATCTGAGCCCTAGAGAGAAGTACAGAGCTTCACCTCCCACCGCTGGGGTGAGACTCAAGTTGAAGGAACTACAATAGCAATGAAAATAGCTAACATTTATTGAGAGGCAGTGCAGCACTGCAGGACAGAAACTGGACCCAGCTGCCCAGGTTCACACCCCAGTTCCCTGCTGTGTGACTCTAGTCAAGTGACTTACCTTCTTTGTGCCTTAGTGTGCTCCTCTGTAAAATGGGGATAATAAGAGTACCTACCTCATCAGGTTATTATAAGGATTATATGAGATAATGCAGTGTAACATGATTAGAATAGCTCCTGACAGAGTAAACACTACATAAATGTCTACTGCTATTGCTGTTGTGATTTCCCTCTGGCTCTTTCAGCCACCAGCAGGCTGGACTACCAGGAGATCTTCCCACATACACACACAAAATGGTCAACCACATTCATGTCATTCTCCAAATGCAGGGGTCAGTTCATGTCATGAACTCTCTTGTACCCTTTACTGCTATCATGAGGAAACCCCTCCATCTGCTATCCATGCCCTGGTTCTATGAGCCCTTACCCAAACATGATGCTCCTGACCTTGTCACCACCCCATCCCTAGCCTGGGTGGCACCTGGCCCCTCAGGCCACTGCCAGACCCTGCACTGAAATCCTTATGAGGCAG